TTTAAAACAAACAGAATAAATTATTTTTTTCACAATCAAATTGTAGAACTCTTTGCCTGGAGATGGTGGAAAGGCACAAAGCATAACAGGGCTGCAATAAGTTCAAGGTGGGTAGGTCCATCAATGGCTACTAGCCAGGATGGGCAGTGATGGTGTCCCTAGGCTCTGTTTGCCAGAAGGTAGGAATGGGTGACAGGGGATGTATCATGATGATGCTTCTTTGGTTATTCCTTCTGAAGCACCTGGCATTGGCCACCGTTGGCAGACAGGATACTGGGCTAGAAGGACCATTGGTCTGACCCAGTATGGCCTTTCTAATTATCATATTTAGATGCGAAATGTATCTGCCCTGCTTGTTGTAACCCACTAAACCCCATTCCCCTTCCAGAGCTGAGCTAGAGCCCAGGAACCCTGATGGAGGGTCTGTGTCTCTCCACAGAGTTAGGAACAAAGTAAGAATAGACATTAAAATTTGAAGGCTAACCAGTGTCCCTTAAGTGACTTGCCGCAAGATGTCAGAATATGTTACTGTTAGAGCTCAGTGGGTCTAAATATATTTAATTTTCATTCTTTCATATAGGAATTAGATACAGTGCTCCCATCAGCTAACTGCTAAGTTGTCTGCCAAAAAGTAGTTTTCCCTTGTCTTAGTAGCCCCGGAATAGAGGTCATGTATGTGTATGTGAGAGGGGGAGGGCAGATGGGGTTGGTTCCCCCTCCCATTTGCTGCTTGGGTTGTACTGAGTATCCCAGTAACACTGCTGAAGCCTCAGTCCTCACCCCTCCGACCCATGCTCTCACTCTCTTCTTCCCCTCACCCATCATAGCATGCACAGGTCACCTTTCCCTCCCACTAAAATCTGAAATGGTGGTCAGCAGGGGACCCCAAGCAAGATCTCCCTCTTATAAAGGTCAGGAGTGGTGACCTGGCAGGGCTCTCTCAGCACTCCCGGACTCTGGAACTTACTTCAGCATTAGGGCCAAAATAGCCCAAAGTTGATGAACTTGGCTCACTACAAACCCCCCTTTCCTGTGGTGCGTTTGGGGAGGACCCATGGCCGGGCTGCACCAGAGAAAGAGGCGGGAAGGACTTTCTGATGTGTCTGGCTGGCTGGGGCTCTTGTGAAATGGTCACTTGGTGCTGCTGGGATTTGCACGTGGTATCAGTGTGCCGAGCTACCTAGAGCCTCGGCTCGGCACCGCTTTAGTATTCTACCCTCATAAATACCCCAGTCACTTGGGATCCCACGGAAATGTGGGTTTGGTCCAGACTCAAATAGCTGCAAGAACCAAGTCTTGGAACCTCCCTCCCCCATTCACTCTTGAGTCTGCAGAGGTTGTGCATCTGTGAGGAGAGGAACATTTGACCCAAATCAGAGAATGTGTGTGTGTGTGTGTGTGTGTGTGTATGTGGTGTGTTGTGTTGTGTTGTGTGTGTGTGTGTGTGTGTGTGTGTGTTGTGGTTCAGTGCCCTGTGCCTATTAGTTTACTGGAAGTTGTGCCAGAAAGAAGATTTGTCCTGAAGGAGCCTTTCCCCTTCCTCCAGGATTCCTGATGGAGCAGAGACATTTCGATTCTCAGCTGAAGTCGAGTGAAGCCAGACTAGCAGGCGCCGCCTGGCTGAGGTGCTGGATCAGTGCCGCTCGTGGCCACATTGGTTTCATTCCCTACAGGCTGGGCCCCCCCCCCCTCCC